CATACTGTAAAATACTTTATACAGGTTACAGACACTGTAAATGTCTACAGCACCACCACATGTCATACTGTAAAATATATTATTTAGAAATAAATTTAAATTTTACTATTTTCGCTGAAGAGATGAATCAACGAAAATAAAATCTAGCGAATATACCTTTTTTGCTATACTTTACATTCAACTCAGTGGAAATAAAACTCCATACAAAACACCCAAAAAATCATTTCAGTGAAAATTAATTGCAGCTAAAATAAAGCATTTTAAAGTAATCAACCAAACTATTTTAACTGTATGAACTACCGGGTAGGTTGTGAAGTCATTTCTATATAATCAAATAACTATGAATTATGGGGTCTAAATTACAATCGTTTTCACTAAACATTGGACAATCAGCTTGTGGTAACTGTTGATACATCAGAGCAAGTACCTAATAAAATTGCCACTGATTTTATCACTACTAATCAAAACATTATAACTGTAGCTTAAACATTTTTGATACAATGTATAACCGTCTGTACTCAACTCATTTACATAAAATGTTACGTTTGTGTGCGTGTCCCGGTAGTGTGTCCAGACACCCAGAGCATATAACGTAGGAGTACATGTAATTTGGTGACACACAATTTAGTGTACAACAGAAAATTGTTGAACTTTACTTAAATGGGCTGTCATATAGACAAATTGCACAACAAACTGTCGTGTAAAAAAGTACTGTGAATAATATATGCACTAAACTTATTACAAGCAATGATGTTTCAGCTGGGAAGCACGGACGAAAACACGGTAACAGAACATGCTTGACTGACAATATTTGACAGCATATTGAATTTCATAAACGGCGACAGCCTAGTATTTATCTGCGTGAAATTCAGTCAAAGTTATGCCAAGTTAACGTGTGCCTCGATGTCCCCAGTTCAGCCACGGTTTACCGGGGACTTGTTCACCACTTAAACATGACGAGGAAAAAGTTAACGACAGACATTAACGAACAACGAATGCTTGACTTATCGATAACATTTCTGATTTTGGACCATAACAGCTGCACTGGTTTGACGAGTCGTCTGTCATTCGTACTACTGGAAACTGTTACGGGCATGCAGAAATTGGTAAACCAGCGATAGAAATACAGCGGTTTGTGTCTAATTACACAATAAACCTGCTTACAAGTATATTTGGTGTCTAATTTTCTGATATCATTGTTGGACCTTCCAATGCTATGGAAATGAACTTTTTCTTCGAAGCAGACAATGTAGAAGACCACGATGGAAATCATTGTTTGGCACCGGGAAATTGTGTAATCATGGATAATTGTGGTTTTCATCACGCCAGGATTGTCGTACCTAACTTGTCATACAATTAACATACAATACGAGTATAATATCTGTGAACAATGTTTTCGGCCTATAAAATCATATCTTCGGGGAAACCAGGAATTTTTGTTTACAAATATTTAAAAATTGAACTTCAATTTGGAAAATCTGTCATGGTATAACAATATTTTTACAAATCCGCAGATTTAGATGCGATATTCGCCAAATCTAGTAAAGTTAGGCAGGACTGGTTTGTTTCGCCGACAATATCTCCCTCTGGGTTCTCCTTTTCCTTGGCTGTAGGTGCCAATTCTGGAAATTCCACTTGGTTTGCCATTCCAATTTTGGGTTGAGGCGAAGTCACTGCTGCTGTGTACTGGTAAACTTGGACTTGTTTCCGCGAGTCTTGCCATTACTGTACTATCTGGTGTAACTGTCATCACATTGCTAGTAGGTGGGCGCATAAACGCCCAAGGGTTGATAAATGGAGTAGGATTTCCATACCATGGCATCATATTTTGCGGAATAACCATTTCTGGGTTGGGCTGTGCTGGAACATACGGAGCATAAACTTGATTTGCCTGGTGTGGAGTTGTAACTATGACTGTCGACGACGTAGATGAAATAGCATGCTTCAATGGAGAGGTTTCCTCGGATTGTTTTATTGTGTGTGTTGTTATTTTACGCTAGTCTTCCACGTCGTCGTCATCAGGTTTGAATTCAGAAACCTTCCATTTTCCCATTTCCAATAATTTAGGTAGATCAACTGCATCTTGGAGATTTCCTGGTGACAATTTACCATCCAAAGCAACTTTAAGGAGATGAACATCTTTTAATAATTTGCTGCGTCACTCTAACACAACGTACTTTTCTGGGAAGAGTCGTTGCAATCGTGGTTCCAGAACACTGGCAGACTAGCTATGAAAGACTTCACAGACTGTAATTCCCCTTCTAATGCTTTCATCTTGTCTTTCACGTTCTTTATTTCTTTGTCTTTCTGTGAAATTGTGAAGAAATAAAATAAGAAAATGGAGAAAATGGAGAAAATAAACTGCTAAAATTTACTACCGGTAACCCCATTTGAAGTGCGAACAAAAAATGTTTGCTACGAATGTCTAGACTATGACCAAACACTAATACAGTTAAAAAATTAAAATTATTCTGTGGTGGTGTTTTACTATTAGCCATCACCACCTTACATAGATTAGGCATGAAAAATATGAATTAAATCATTCTATAAATATTTCATAGCTTACTTGACGTAATGCTTTGGAATGTTCCCGGTGTTTATCTAATCGACAACAATACATATAACCAGCACATGGTTCATAACAACACTCGCGACTGCCTCTGTTCCCACTTTCCTTGTGTCCTTTGTGACATAAATTGCATATAGCGTCAATAGCTCGGATTCCTGGTAGTGCAAGTGTGGCTAAAGGTGGTGGCGGAGTCTTCAAATCTGTCCACTCGCGTTCAAGTACAAACTTGCTTTGTGATAATATTTCTAACTGGTCCTTTCAGACATAGTAGGAGCCTGCGACAGTTTTTGTCGTGGCGTTTCACTTTCAACATTGGTAGATGTTTCGTCTCTTTTTGTAGTCCAATCAACGTCTTTTGCCAGTACTTGAATTAGAAGCCCCTAAATTACTGTGAGTCATTGCCGAAGATGACTTAACCGCCAGGAAAGTTCCGTCGACAACGTATAATTGTTCACGCATTGTATCAGTTTTTAAGCGAATAGTGTCCACTATCACATCACGATATTGTTCGTTTGGTGGTAAATCAACTCGCTGTCCATCTTCGTCCATGATTTGCAAATAGCCTGCATTCGCCTTAAAAAGCAATCTGTTCACATAGATAGTCAACAAAATTTTGATATGACATGCACATAACTCGTCTTCTTTAACATAGATTGGAACAATTCTGTCCTCCGTGTCCAAAGAGCGTTGTGATAAATCAGCAATGCTGGTCAGGGCAAAAAAATGAAATGTCTTGCACAAACAATGAAAGACAGAATGGCGCCTCAGAGACTCAGACAGGTATACATTGTACCAAAAATGTTTAGGCTACGGTTATAATGTTTTGAATAGTAGTGATAAAATCAGTGGCAATTTTATTAGGTACTTGCTCTGATGTATCAACATTTACCACAATCTGATCGTCCAATGTTTAGTGAAAACGATTGTAAAAGCTTAGGTTTTTATATTCACAACTATCATTCATCACTCAAACTGAATGGAGAAAACATATTTGTTGATATCTGAATCAACATGAAGCATATGGGAGACACATAGTGGTATGCATATTTGTACCATCATTACAAATAGTTCCACATTTAGCTAACCTCAATTACATCTTGGGACAAAGGAAATATGAACATGATAAATATTTTCACTCTCGTTGAAAATTCAACAGTAAATAATTATATATATTGTACCATTGCCCATATTTGGGTAATGCATTACATCATTATTATACATCACCATACGAGTCTTGCACAGGTGCACTCAATTGACTCAGAATTTACATAACATATTGCAGTTATATTTTGCATTTTGCAGTTATTGGGTTTGTGACATAGGAATAAACTATCTCAGATTTATTTATGATCTATTCGTATCACAGTGCATATTCCAGAACTGCGACATAAAACAAGCAAAGATAGCTATGCCATATCACTACTTCAAATTGAAAACATAACATCTAACAGTGCCATATTGAATTCACACAAACTCATTATATGCTATGGTGTGACCCAATAAGGCATTGTAGTCACTCCTTATTTTTATAGTAATACAACTTGATACCTTTCTTTGTCTAACCCGTCTAGAGGAGCTGTAAGAACACTCAATGGCATTTCTAGATCGTTTCATACTGCCTCCCTCACTTGATTTCAGATCAGTGTTATTTAAGTCACCATTATATATGGGAGTATTCCTACCAGACTGTGATGGGGTAGCTGTAACCCAGGTTGAACCACTGCAAGAAGAAGAGTTATCACAACGCCTGCAAAAAGAATGCAAAAAGAAGCATTTTAGCGAGTCATTGCAATGTGTTCAATCAAAGACTGCTTACAGTCAATGATCAAAACCTCTTTAAGTTAAAAATCTTTTGTTCTTTCCAAGACGTTCCAACATCAGTTTGAAATTTTACAATTATCTACAGTATTTAGAAGCACATCAATAGAAGTGCATATATTGTATATTGAATCATTGAAATATAAATAACACCTATGTGATACATGAGTGTATGCGCTACTAATCCTACTATTTTTTTTTGTATCTTCTGTTATCAGGTTTTTACTTGATTCAACACTATAAATGAACCATCATAATACAATCCAGACACAGACTTGACACAGACCATAGTTTCAGATTACTGTAAAAACTGTATTAGAAACCGCGGCTTCTATTAAAATGATACAATGCAACAGAGGGAGTGCAGCTTCTATTAGAGCATCCACACATACGAGAAATGGTGAATTTTATTAGGGATGCAGCTTCTAATACAGATTTTGCAGTGAAAAATATGTTGGTATTAAAAAATCGTTTTTAATTTGTTAAATATCTACTGAATGTGTAATGTGAATACCTCCGTTTTGAACCTTTCTCAAAGAGTGATGAAGCAGTACTACTATTATCTTCATTGTTTTCTTGCATCAATGTCCTCTTTTTACTTTCTCTCAGTGCTGATAATATTGTCTCTTTATTCAGCGGATCTACCATGCCATTGTGTCTTTGCAACCTATGAATGATAAAGCAACTTACAGAAAGTCATCCATCAAGGAATGTGTAGAATTATTCAGCAATAATATACAATGCCATTAGACCAAAAATAAATACATTGTTTCAATAACATGCACAGGTAGGGCAGTCAAGTTTTCTTTTCCTATAAATAATGACGAAAATAATTTTAGCCAAACTGGTTATCAAATTTCTATTTTGCTGTGAAATTCAGGCTTTCCATATGAATGCAGTAAAGCATTCATTTAAGGATGAGACCCATGTCTGTGGGTGCTTATATTTAAACCTGTATTTCACAGTGAAGATGAAATTTGACTACCTACACGTTATATATTTTTAGTTGTGTGTGTGTGTGTGTGTGTGTGTGTGTGTGAAAATGTTTTTTTTGTTTTTTGTTTTTTTTTGTTTTTTAAACTAGTGAAGTGTATCATAGGTTTTTTGAGTTTTTTCACTCAAAACAGATGTACGGAAAACATACTGAAGTTGCAGACATCCTGTCTATTGTCATAAATTGGTCAGCAAACTGGGAATCAGACCGTGTCTGGACTGTGCAATGCGTGTCAAAAGAGAAAATTTTATCAATAAATTACTAGATAAGAATCTTCTGTGAAAAAAATGAACTGTTCCATTGATCCAGCGTATATCAGACGTCTATTAAAGTATTGCGTGTAGTGCCAAAATGAAAGCTTGAAAACAGCAAATTGCATAAAAATAATTTCTTGTCATTCGACTCGCTGGAAACCTATTTGAAACGGTAATTTTTTTCATGGTAATTCGCTTGGATAATACTCATATCTTTGATTTACTCGCAACATGCACTGGTTAAAAGAAATTTGGTTAGTGTTTTCAGGCCAGTCGATAGGGAGACTGTGCATCTATTTACTGAAAATAAAGCACAGGACTTTTATTACTCATTTTATTAATTTACAAAAAGGGTAAAATGATCACTGGGTTTAGTTTAACATATTTGGCTGTCAGCAACCATTACGCACCATAAAACACTTCACAGATGTTCACAGAGTTTATGTATGTGAATGATATAAAAGAAATAGGAACTGTAACCAACTCACATAGGACTAGGACTTCTAATGCCATCATGTGCTGCTATTTTCACTGTAACAGGACTATTCCTGCCATGGGGACTATGTGAACTCAAAGCATTCTGTATAGTACTACCTCCTTTCCATTTCACCGATGGTAAAAGTCCCAGACTTGAATACTGGGCCTGGTGAGTCGGATATCTGCGTTGTCCCATTGCTAAGAAGCGATCTGTTGATGTTTCACACGGTGATGCATGCGAGTGCAGCTCTGGAGAGCTGTAATGAAATAACTCAGAATTAATCGAAGTACAGTAATTCAGAAGCTTACTATTTCAAAGCCAACATATCTAAAAATGCCTTGGACAGATGAGAATTGAAAAGACATTATGATCTACAGCATTGGCCTTTGTGACATCAACAATCAATATTTTGGCAACAGGATAATGGCCATACTGTTGAAATTTAAAATAACAATAAAGGTTATGTTAATTATTTTTTATTGTAACAAAATGATTATAAGTAGTATGCCAATTAGCCTTCATGCTTGAATATTAACTTTTGTTTTTTTACACTACAGTGCCCTGAAATGGTACTTACAGAGTAATAAATTAAGCTGGGTACTGATCATTGTGATGAAACAGATATAAAGATACCAGCAAATAAAACAGTAACAGGTCAAAGTAAGATTTTAAAACTAGCAGACAGCCACAGCTTATATATAGTGTTTCTATTTTTTGAATAATTTTGTATTTAAGTAGACCAAGTTGGCAATATTTTTATTTCAGAACTATCGGTATATTAAATAAAAATTTAAATAATTGATTAATTTAAATAGTAAAAGAAATAAGTCGCAGAAAGCCTGGAGTAATGTAAATATAGGAGTCATTTTTTTTTATTAATTTTCCTTTCATAGTTACACAAGACATTTGCAAAAAAACGCACATAAACAATCAATTGTATTAATTGTATACCATAGACTTTAAAAGACAGACTGTCTTAAAGGGGCACCTTCCAGTTAAGTCTAATCTCACAACAAATTTACTTTCTGGATTAAAATAACAATGAATAACAAAAGATAGATTAACATTGTAAACAACATAAACAATAGTGTCCCATGATTCTTTAGTGCAATCCATGGGATTGAGCGGTTCCCCTTTAAGGTCTATATGTATACCAAGTCATTCAAATATTACTTCATTTGGCCATGAACATATTACTGTCATTTACAGTAAGCACAATACAGTACTAATTTTTCATAAAATGTTATACTGATAGAAACTTGTATTTCTAAAGATAAGAACAACAACTCCTGTGTATTGTTATGTCGAATAATGCTTTTATGCTCCACAATAGACTACAGTACTGAACTTACGAGCACCCGTCACCCATGCGTATAAGAGCACAACGTCATCCTGGGCGAGCACTCAAGGACAATTGCAAATTAATGAGGTCAGCAAAAAGAAATTACAATCTTTATTTATGTCAGTTTTAAAAACAATATACGTACCATACATGGTATCGTTTTGCAGTTACCGATACAGGCGATATCTGCAAAGAAGCGTTGTTCGCCGGCGTCAAACCGCCGGCAGATGGCGAAGATAAAGGCGAATTCAGAAGAGGTCCGGCTGGCGACTGAAATCTTGGACGCTTCGTTATTTTGATTGGAGATCTAGAAAAGCTCGAAGAGTGTCCTTTTCGTCGGTCTTCCTGGGAATAGTTCGATAAAGTGCTGGAATTTTCAGAGTTTTCTATAAATGTGCTCGATCTCTTGCCAGATTTGTGAACAGTTCTTCTCCCAGCTGACCACGGCAACATTGGATTAAAGTTTTGGTGCTGAACAAAAACAGAACCTACCGCAGCAAATATAATATACAAGAAAAGCAAGCTAGACAGAGTTATTTGGAAAACGTTAGAGAGCGTCAATGTTAACACCACAACGCCGCCGATCAAACCTAGTCGACGATATATAGTGTGCATGCTTGTCACCCATGCTTTGACGTCAACTCATCGCATAATGTTTCTTTTCTTCCAAAATGGCGGTCAGGGACGTTGAGAGCGACCTCTCCCGACAAACATACCATTCTCGTTTGTTTATTTTCAAAATTGCCTAATCACTATAATGCCTCGAGTTCAATATCGAAATGATCCTTACTAATAACAAGTTTTTTTTCTGAGCGAGTTAAAGCGAATAAATAGACTGACTGACACAGGACCATTAAGTCATCACGGTAATTCTGTCTTGTATTGTGTCTATAATGTGTATAGTCTAGGGTATCAGTCAACATAGTATGTGATAAGTTGCTATATGTGATATGTGCATAAAGGCTACGGCTAAAGTGAAAAAACTGCTGTTTGAAAATATCGAGGATCATAGATTGTTTAAAAATAGGAGATGACGATGCAGTGAAATCAGAGTTCGTTATAGTTGTTGCATTATAATGGTATGCATTTCCGATACCTTTAATCCGTATTAATATATGTACAGTAATAAAATAACATCGTGACTATGGGACAGTGTATGTTTTACCCAATCATCCGATGATGTTCGCTGTATGATATTGCCAAGTGATATGTTTGTCGATCTCAAGTTAATTTATGCCTATATACCATATGTGTTTCATACTGAGCCATACTTTTGTAAGTCTTAAGCAAAACATTAATTTGTTTATAAATCGGTTGAAGCACAACTTGTTCTCCAACAGCTTTTTTTCAAATATTGAAAAATAAGTAGTTGTCAAAACATAGCGTGATACCATGGCCGTGATACGTCACCGACTTGTGTATTTCAATAAAACCACATATGAATAATATACTGATCGCAGTTATTCACTGAAAATGAAATTTGTTATCGATTATCGCGAATAACATGGATTATAAAGAACTTTTCCACAAAATAAAGACTCTCCAAATCGAGTGATTTTCTCCTGGTGCTTCGAGCTGTGTAGTTAGAGGCATAAATTTCAGTTAGAAAATTCTGGCCTATTTTTCTCTGTATGCAAAATCAATACATGGTAATTTGTTTTTAGAAAACCCTTCAAAATTATCGTATACATTGTTGCCAGGGTGTTTATTAAACACGTAAACCTATAATACTTTCAAAAACGTCGCCATTTCAAGGACTTGTACTCCATTTTTTTTCGCTGATTCGGAAAGAAGTCGTCATTTGGAGAAAGCCTTCCCTTTCAATTAAATGTGCCTTGCTGACGAAGGTCAGAGAAATAAGAATATAATATATATATGAGTGAAATAATTGGGACGTCATTTCCTCTATAGTTACGTAACTTGAGATTAACCACAAAGACACTTCAAAAACAGAATCCGATCGGCATTTTAAACAAAACCACGAGTCTGTAATTCGCCTTGTTCGCACAAACGTATGTGTGTATTTAGAATGCATTTTACAAACCTTAATCTGCCAATGTGTGTCAACTAGTTCTTTGCAAAATTAGTGTTCATACTAAACAGTGAAGCTTGCATTTCATCGACAGTGACATGATAATGAAGTCAACGTAAGTTCTAAGTGACACGATCGTTCGTTGGTTGTTTATCCCTACCACATTAAAGTCTAGCCAATCAAGTAATTCGGTTCATACTTCAATTCGACTGACAATGACCTTTCTTTCAAATATCGCCCAATGGCATTCCAGCTCGGTACAATATGCATATTACACATCTGGTTCTCATCACAAGATCTGTGTTCTCGATGAAATATAATATTGTCCCTGACTGACTATAAGAAGCGGAGAGATATTAGCCCAGAGTGGTCCCAGAAAACAATGAAAATACAATTATTTCTGAGTTGGCCCAATAACTAGAAACACAATAATATTGTCCCTGAGTGGTCCTAAGAAGCAGAGAGATATTATTTCCGAGTGGTCCCAATAACAATGAAAATACAATTATTTCTGAGTTAGCCCAATAACTAAAAAAATAATAATATTGTCCCTGAGTGGTCCTAAGAAGCAGAGAGATATTATTCCTGAGTGGTCCCAATAACAATGAAAATACAATTATTTCTGAGTTGGTCCAATAACTAGAAAAATAATATTATTGTCCCTGAGTGGTCCTAAAAAGCAGAGAGATATTTTTCCTGAGTGGTTCTAATAACAATGAAAGTACAATTATTTCTGAGTTGGCCCAGTAACTAAAAAAATAATATTGTCCCTTAGTGGTCCCAAGAAGTGAAGAGATATTATCCATGAGTGGTCGTAAGAAACGGGGAGATATTATTCTTGAATGGTCCTAAGAAGCGGAGAGATATTATACCTGAGTGGTCCTAAGAAACGGAGAGATATTATTCCTGAATGGTCCTAAGAAGCGGGGAGATATTATACCTGAGTGGTCCTAAGAAACGGAGAGATATTATTCCTGAATGGTCCTAAGAAACGGAGAGATATTATTCCTGAATGGTCCTAAGAAGGGGAGAGATATTATTCCTGAATGGTCCTAAGAAACGGAGAGATATTATTCCTGAATGGTCCTAAGAAGGGGAGAGATATTATTCTTGAATGATTTTAATAACAAAAGAGATAATGTTATCTCTGAATTAATGAAATAATAATTGCATCTTGATGGATAGTACTGTTAATATTGATGTTGTATATTGCTCAATACAGAATGTAATCTTGATGGTCTGTCACACTTATTTTGTTTCTATAATTCAATCAGTGCGGATACAATAATTATTAAACATATTGCAAGCCTCGCCTTGAAAGCGGTGGACTATAGAATTACAACATCATGGACTTTTTTGTACCGAACCGTACAGACACTCAAAAATATACCCATACTGCATATATCGAAAAAAAAATCGACAATGCGCAGATACCGTATTCCATGCGACACTGTTGGCATGCCATTACGTCGTCGAGTGAAGAGTGTGGGGACTGACAATCTTACATGAATTTAAGATAAATGTAAAAAGCTAAAACGAAATCCAACCTAAAATTCAACAAAGGACTTATATATATGTTTTGGCAAAATTAATTGAATAACCGAGACCTAAATTGAATAATAAACATTTGCAAGTGCATGAACACTTGCACTCACATTTATAACTAAATAATGAATATAAATGTACGCATCACATTGAAGTAGAACTTCCAGAACCAATATCTAAGACTTCCATGCTTTGACTTTCACGATTGGAAAATTTGCTTCAGATTCTATCTGTGTAAAACAGTAGTATAATGCGGAATGCAAGATATGCCAAATCTGTTCTTTAAAACGTGAAACTGCAAACATGCTGAACTCATGTAACAGTAAAGGCTAGGGCTAAAATTCGGAAAGTGAAAATTAAAAATGTGTAAATGCCAAACACGCTCTCGTTTAAACTAATGACTCAAACCGAAGGATTACACAATTACGGTTTTTATGTAGAAGAAAGTTTATTCCATTTTTATCGTAAGCGGGCGCATACAGGTATTTTTGTTTATTATATTAACCTGTCAAATCAGCTTCTTTATAAATATAAGACAAACGGAAAATCACAGTCCGGCATCGCAGTACTTGAATGTAATCTTGTTTTTGTACAAGAAATGGACATTACTGTTTTATCGTGATAAAACTGTTTCTCCTGTCTTTACATATTTATTCTTGTACACACTTAGAATACAATATATAGTAAAGTGTCAATAGTTTGAATGTAAATATTATGCTTATTCTGTAGATGTAAAACCATGGCACGTCGTGTCATATATCTGCTAATATTTTGCGAATTTTTCTGCGCGTCGGTCGATAATCCCGCTGTACTGTCGTCGTGCATACTTTGAGGTATCCTCGTAATAACCTCATATTATTATTATCGGATATATTTACAGAAATATTTAACACATAGTCTATTACGTGATATCGGCATTCAGTTGTTTACATTTAATACATAGTCACTCTGTGGCTAAGATCATTGACCGAAACGTCCATCCACCATCAACACGAGACTCTGAATAACGGGTAGGACCTGAAGATGGCGTCATCTTACAGCATTAAATTCACATTACAATTTTATGTTTCCAAATAATCAGATATTAATTCTGGAGAACAGAGTATACAAGAACTGGAAACAGTGTAGTCAAACCAGTAAGCAAAAGATACTATGAATACTATGGCACATGTATACATGAAAATGAAAAAAAAAAATAATAACCTGTAGCTCCCATGGGCAAGTTGACAATCCCTAATATTGCTAAACCGTCAGTTTTAAAACATTTTCAACTCGGATGAAAAAACAAGTTTCTGCCACTCACTACGAATTCCACTCATCGCGAAGCTACTAGTTACAAGTAATAATAATCTTTAATCACTTAACATCCATTGGAATGGATGAAAATCGATACATAACAATATACGGAAAAAAATACAATACAAAATAACTAAGAACTACAAAAGAAGGAAACAAAAATATTTGGATGAATTAAACTATTACACTTATACATTATTAACAGTGACCCAATTATGTAATAGAATGAAAATGAAAATTTTAGGTATTGAGCAAGAGGTATTGCTATTTTTTGGAAACTTAATAAGAAATTGAACTTTTCTTTCAGATTCAAATTCTTGAAAGTGTTTTTATGCTGTTCAGCTTTTGTGAAGAGTTTATCAGGTGGCTATAAATGGGGCACGACATAAAAAAGTGTTGCTTATCTTCGATTTCATTGATGGTACAGTAATTACATATTCTTTGTTCGGAAGGTACTCCATTGTGACGTCCAGTTTCAATTCTTAGTGAGCGATTACTTAATCTAAACTTGGTTAGAATTTCACGGAGTTCTTTATATTTAATTTCTACTAGGTAGTTTTCTATTTCTATATCTTTTGTGGGTTCTTAATTTGTTTTGTTTTTTTCATTTATTTTATTTCCATTGTCAGTATGTAATTTATTTGTCCAGAACTAAGCATCTATATACTGTTACATCATGTCAATATTTGTGCAAACAGAAATTGTAGGGTAGCAGGATAATGCATAATACTTAAGTCGTAAAAACTACATTTGGTTAGTCATCCGTTCTTCTTATCTATGCCGTCAAAGACATGACACATTTTCCGACAATAAAAAAATGTTTTGAATGTTGTTATCAATTTGTTTTAATTTTGTTGGTTTAGTTCTTTTGAGTTTATTAGATCAATTTGATTTGTTTTGTTTTGTTTTGTTTTGTTTTGTTTTGTTTTGTTTTGTTTAATATAGATTTCATTTTAATGAACCATTTACTGTTCAGCGTTTTGTTAACGAGATATGCTTCTTTTGAAATCTTGTTGTTAGTGTTAGTTATTCTGTTAAGATATTTAATAGCTTGTCTTTGAATATAGCAGTCAATGGGAAAT